GCTGGCTCTCTTGCAATTCAAAGATTTGATTGCGCGCCTCATGCATACTGCGCGACATCTGTTCATTGATGGGGCCAGCAACGGCAGGTTGCAGCGGCGCCACCGCAGCGGGTGCACTGCTAGCTACTACCGAGGGGAATGCGCTAGCGGCGATGTTTTGGTTGAGTTCCGGCATGACTTTAGCATTGCTATTTTGTATAATTTGCACAAAATTTATTTGATTGCGATAATGAGCGGTGCAACTTCCGTCACGGCGACTGATCGAAAGAGTGTGGAATGTGAGTGGAATAGTTGGTATCAGTACTATTGAATGAAAGAAAATTATTAGAATCATTAAGAGAATATGAGCCTTGTTTATACTAACGAATCGTTTTTTTATTGGCGACCACATTAACTTTCGGCAACATGTGTGTTGTGATCAGCGACTCATCGATTTTGATGAATGTCTGATCACCGCTGGCGCCAATCCAAGTAGCTTTCTTGCCAAAGCTCGGACCCAAACCGCTGCAATATTGATAAAATCGTATAAACTTAAACAGAGACATACTAAAAATTCATTTACTTACAATACCGCGCCGGGTGCGCAATGCCAAAGGAATTTTTGTCGCTGTGTCAATAAATTTGCAATGCCGACATCCTTGCCCACACCGCTCATACCCACGGTCGCTCCGTTTTGCTCACTACTTGCTCTTTTATTGAACGCTACGCCCGCATCCTCCCCACCGCCTGATGCCTTATCGCGCTGAAAATCATTGGGCAGTCTACCCAGCTGTCCCTTTTGGTAATTACCAAAAGTGTACACCATGCCTTTGTAAGTCATCAGAACTGTATGATTGCTGCCAGCGCTGACCTGGCTAATTGCGCCTTGCACATTTACCTTAACAGGCCCGTTTACAGGTTGTAAATCACCCGTTCCCAACTGACCGTATTGATTACTGCCAAAAGTGAAAACCTCGCCAGCTAACGTTAAAACGACAGTGTGATGAAGACCGCAAGACACTTGCACGACGGGTGAGCTACTGGACAGTTTGAGCATTTGAGGCGCTAATGGCGCAACACGCGGTGGATCTTTGTCTACATCAGTAGCTTGGGTTCCGGCACTTTCCTCCGCAACCGACTTTTTTTCCTTCCGGCGCATTATCAAACTCTTCGAGCGTTGGCGATTCAATTCACTATGCAGCTGTTTGTTGTCCTTGTTAGCATCATTTTCTGCCTCTTGCAGTGAAATGCAGGTAGAACAGAGCCCACATTTCGAACAGCCAGCATCGCCATGACCACAGGGACATATGCTGAAACAAAAGTTTTAAGATATGAAAGGAAACCATTTGCTTGCACTTACGCTCCGGCCAACCGCTCTTCGATGGGCACATTCAGCGTTGAAACACACGACACGTTGTATCCGGTGCATTCGCGACACATAACACAGACGCGACATTGTCCTTGCACTAGTTGATGATCATCGTAGTCGCAGAGTGTGGAGAAATCGAATTTTAATTTTTTCCCCACCAACAAATCCTTCCCATCTGAATCAGCAATTGCTCCCATGCCGAAAGCATTACCACCCCCACTACCTTGCAGAGAGACGCAATTATCTTTGCTGGATTTGGTAAACACACGCCCGCATTGTCCCTTGTTATTCAAACCAAAAGTGAAAAGCTGACCCTTAGAGTTTAACGCCACGCAATGCGCTTTACCCAGCGCCACTTTCGTTATGTGCTGATCAATAAAATCGCTCACACAACCGCTGGCATCACAATGCGCTGTGTCCTTGCCAAACATAATCAGCTTGCCCGTTTTTGTAACAAAAGCTGAGGTGCCGTTGTTACAGGCCGCATGTATGACTACATGTCCATCGATTTTTGACATCTTTTTGGGCTTGACGGCTTTTGGCTGGCGACGATTCTTTGAAGAGTCACCATCTTCTCCCCGGCGTGCAGTACCTTAAAGCAGGCAATTTGATTTTATAGCGGTGATAAATATTATAGCAGTTTTCACTTACCGGTAAAGTATACAGTACCGTCATCATTTACTAATAAAGCATGTATACCATCATGCCCCAGAGCAATGTGTACAATATTTGAAACTTTGGAAATAATCAACTCTGTCATTTTCATCGTGGGCGTACGTCCGATAGATTTTAAGCCCAGCGATGCTGACTTGCCATAGTAATACACCTTACCGTTCGATGCACGCACAAGACCGAATTCCTTGCCGCAAACGATGCCCTGTATTTCTACATCGCTGGGCAATTTCGGCTCAAAAATATTGTATGACGATTGAATTTTTTGTATTTGGTTTTGATTGAGCACCTCATCCTCGAAAGCAGCGTAGCCAAGTGTGCGAAATTTTTTACGCGCCAGCTTGAGCGGAAGTTCGAATGGCGTCGTCGAGTCGCTGCCGTAAGTATTAGAGTTGTTGAAATTTAATTTTTTCACGACAAGCGTATCCTAGCGGAAAAATGTGAGACCACAATTAGTATTTGTATGTCCTTTACTTTTAAATATATTTCATTTACGCTTACATCTCTATTGGTGCAAATAGCATTAATGGAGTCTTCATCCGTGAAAAGGACATAGTTGAATCCATCACGTATGGGTACTAGATTAACAGAGTTGATCCCCTTAATAGTCAACGTCTCCGTGTTGACAAGATGCAGATGATCTGCCGAACGTTTTACATTACGCCGAAAATAGAGCTTCCCGCCGAAGCATCCCAGCCAACCAGATTTTTCCTTGGTAAACTCGTCATTTTGTGCATACACATGACCTTTAAAGGAGCCACTAAATCCAGTGCCAATCTTTAGCAAAGAGCTACCAAGTAGAAGATATAGATAAGTGCCATCTGAAGCCATAGCAGGTTGCGCATACAGACTGCCGCATGCGGCAACAGACGTTTTTAAAGTGAACTGAAACAAATTTACATATGCATTACTTATATTGTTTACCACACATTTATTAAAAACGTTCAAACCTCATCAATAAGCGAATTTATCGGCACGCCGTTGGTGTGAAAGTCAGGTCTTGTGGGCTTGTTAAGCGCTGCACTCAAAACGGTTTTCTGCAGTGATGATAGCACTACAGGTAGTTGTATAATTTGTGTGGATAACTGTTTGGGCGACATTAGCATAGCTGCAATTGCTTTGAGTATCTTGCCAGTATCGCCGCGTGCAATACAAAGTCCAATCAGTGCCGCGCAAGCCATTGCCGACCAATTGGCTTCCGTAGTTGCGCTAGCCACCATTGCAGCCGGCATTGTAGTTAAGTCGAGAAGCAAATCGTAAAGTGGATTAATCAAATCGTCCGGCTCGAGTTTAAATGATTCTGGTTGTTGCCCTTGTATGACATCCAATAAGGCTTTAAGCGCCTTGGTGCATAGCATCGGCTGTATGTGACGCGCATCGGCGATTAGCTCGAAAAGGCTGCGCAATCCGGCACCTACAATTAGCGGGACACGCACCACTGCAAACTCTTTCTCAGTGGCATCATCTGATTCACTCTCTGCATCGCTGTTTGCTGAATCGTGACGAGAACGTTTTTCCAGAAGCAATCCACTACCACCATTTGCACCACCGATCGCTGCTGACAGCATTGTGTGGCAAGAGCAATCGAGCAGATTTGTAGTCATGCAGGAGCCAGCGCATACGAGGCAACAGGAGGAACTTAAGTTGTGTAGGCGACGCAAAGCGCCACTACTATCTTGAAAGAGAGCATAACGTGTCTCTGCTTCCAAGACTGTAGAGCGTATCACGGCGAATACGGCAAATTTTGAGGCGTTCGCCTCGAGCTCTATATGTGCCACTGGAAATGCAGGGAAGAGTAGTAGTTGATCTTTGATGATTGGCGGATCCATGGGATTTACTATGGCCCCCGCATTGCCTTCAAGCACCGCAGCTGCTGCTGCGAGAGCAGCAGCTTTCTTATCCTTGCTTTTGCGTTTCGACAACGATTTTCGGTCACTTTGTAGTTTACTGAAATTATTACATAATTTACAAACATACATAAGCAGTTAAAAACACAGCTTATGGTGCAAAACACTACCGGTTTTACTATTTTCAAACAAAAACATACACACATACATATGTATGTAAAAAAAAAAATAAAAAGCATTTAGTACAAAATATCCTGTTTATCCTAAATATGGCTATATGGGCAACCAAAAACGGAAAATGCATACAATTCCATTGCTCGAATTTTGTATCGAAAAAGGGCATAGTACAAGATACTTAGTAGGGACAAAAATACTGTCAATCATCAATAGCCAAACGCGCCTCGTTCATTGGAAAATTGTCCACAGCACGAATCAAAGCTGTCCTAAGAAAATCAAAGTTCCGGTATCTTTCGTGGCAACCCATGTTCTGGTTCATTCCATGTAAAAGAGAAAATCGACAATTTTAAAATGTCCTAGTTATCTCTGTTTTAGTAGTACCCTTTATTTAAATGACTAAATTTAATTAATCTATTGAGAAATATTAAACAAATAAAAAGAAGGCTTAATTTTTGTCTATGGAAACTTTTACTTTATGCATAATTACTTTACACCAGTCACAAGGACATGTCCCACCAGTCACAAATTTAAATGTTTTATAATATTTCTATGAAGATTATATGTATGTATATGCCTAATTTTTATTGAAAACGAAAGCGTATAGTTCATATTTTACAACATAAAAGCAGCTTTCTGGGAAATTAGTATTTGGGTTAAAAATTTACCTTTAACAGCCGCACTCAGAAACGTTCCTTAAATTAGCTCTAACGGGCACTTAACTAATGATCGTTATATCTGTTAGCTAATGTTTCCTCTCAGAGTTAAAAATTATGAAATAAAAAATTTAAGTATGGCCCCAGTTGCGGCCTTTCATTTTTGTGGCATCACTCACTTTTCTCGTTCAGTTTGAAATAACATATTAAAATAAGTATTTATATCATTTTGCACGCACTGGCTCAACGGACGCAATGGCTGAATGAGCAGCGCACTGGCGTGCCATTCGAGAGATCCGAGTTCGAGTCTTAGGGCAGTAAGATTTTATTTTTCCTTTTTTTATTTATTTATTTTTGCTTGGTTCATTTATATAAACTATCTTTATTGATTTTTTTTTGCATTTTTGATCTAATTTTCTTTTGATTTATAGATTTTATTGCTATAAAAAGCAAACAAATTTTTTTTCGATTTAATTAAATTTTTAGAAACTGTTTGCTAAAAGACAAACAAGACCAATACCAGGCCAATTCTGGCATCTGTCTTTCAACTCACCTCAGTCTTTCGAGAGACAAGAGTCTTTATATTTCGGCAACTATCTTGAAAGCCCTTTTCTGTATTTCGAATGACTAATTGAAAGATGTGCTAATAGTGTTATTATATTTATCGTTTAGCAATAAGTTTTCTAAAAACTAAACGAAATGAAAAAAATATTTTTTTAAAACAGGAAAAACTATAAATTTGAGAAACCGAAAGTAAAAGAAAAAAGATGAATCAAAAAAGTTTCCAAACGTTAAATAAAATAAAAAATATGAATTTTTTAAGCAATAAAACTAAAAAAAAAAAATGTATTTAAAAAAATCGTTGCCGAGGATTGAACTCGAATCTCTTGAATGCCACGAAAGTGCTCTGCTCACTGGGCCGTACAGCAACGTTATCGAAATTGAAATTTATTGAAAACAAACAAAAAATTTCAAAATCATTCGTTAAAAAGTTAAGTAAAGGTTTTTGTTTACTTAACTTTAATGTTCATTAAATGCCGTTAACGAATCATTAACTGACTCTGAGAGGGAATTTTTTCAAATTGTTACTGAGGGACACCTTAAGTAATCATTAAACGACTCTGAGTGCGGCTGTAAGTCACAAAGCTTAAACAGAGTTATTTTCAGTGTCCCACCAATCACATTCATTCAAATGAGATACATACATACATAAAACTAAGAAATCGTTTGGTATTTTTGTGAAATTTTATACATCAATTATCCGGTCTATGTTATAAAAAAAGCTTTATCTGTTGTATAAGTACCGACGACATAGTTATAATTCACAATTGATCACATTCTGGAGTAAAATGTACCATCAGTCACGATGGAATGGCGCTCCTCTAAAATTGACCACAATTTGTAATCCAGCGCGTTCAAATCGGGACCAAAAGGCCATCTTTATTGGCCGGCGCAGAATCCTGCTGGAAAGTTCACCGATTTTCAAACAGAGAATGTTTAAGCAGTTTTATAACAACTGTGATTCCTCGCAGATATGCAAATCACTGATCCCTTCAATGATCAAAATCGTGCTTGGAGATTTCAATGCCAGGGTGGACAAGGAAGGGATCTTTGGAATCACCGTCGAAAAATTCAGCCTCCCCGACGAAACGTCCGACAATCGACTTCGCCGTGGCCCGAAACATGGTAGTATGGAGTACTAGGTTCAAGCAACAACCAATAAAGAAAAATTTAAGTTATACCAAAGGGCAGTGATCACAGGTGAATGGGTAGAATACAATGAAATAAAGAAAGCGTATAAGAAAATGATTAAAACTAAAAAAATACAATAAAGGGAATACAAAGTGGAAATTAATAGAGGTGATAGTTGTTTAAAGAATATTGTCCATAATACAGATCACAAAGAAGTTCTAATCAACGGCAAAATATATAGAAATAAATAGTACTGAAATCGCTGACAAGTTAAACAGCGATATTAATAAGAATATAGAAAACGTTAATTATGATCCGATTCAACAGGAAGATAGTCAAGGGACCTTTAAATTTTGTCAAATTAGCACAGATGATATTTCCCATATAGTGAAGAAGTTTAAGATAAAAATTTATGGAAATAATTTTTATATCGGAGGGTGTAATCAAAGACTACGTTGAATATATGGGCAGTGTTGCCACTGACGAAAAAAAATATTTACCATCCACTTGAAACAAAAATCTACCAAATCTGGGAAATATCTACCAACAACTTTTTTATAATTATTTTAACAAAAACCATAGTTTTGTTATTTTTTTTATTTATTTTAATTAAAACTAGTTTTTTTATATTTTTTTTTTTTAGTTATTTCAATAAGAATTAAAATTGTTTTTAAGAACTTTTTATTTAACTAGTTATACGGTATTTACGTTATATTATTGGCATATTCTCAGTTTCCTTCAACTAAAGCGGGAGTGAAGAAACTAAATTCAACAATGAAACTTCTTTATTTGAAAAACTTCAACTCGAGTTATTATAGACAAATGCTGTGACTCAAAAAAGTGATTTTTTTTAATATCCGCAATAGTTATCGAGTAAAAATTTTTTATTGCTTCAATTAAATCCAAAAAAAAATCGAGGATTCAAACTATATACAACATATAGAAAAATTCCAAAAATTTTCGTCTAAATATCGAATTTTTTACTCTGAATTTTTAGAACAATTTAAGGTATGGAGTTTTAAAGCCCATACTATTTGAATATAGCCAACAATGTGCTGCTTAAAATTTCCGTTGATTTTTTTTTATTTTTTTTTTTTTCATTAATAAAAAATGGCGTTGATTTATTTTTTTTTTTCGAACAATCATAGTGCGTAATTACATACCTGTTATTTTTTCTTTATATTTAAATAATCATTTAAAATATTTAGACAATCAAAAGCTCCTCGGGATTCCAGTAAAATTCCAGTAAAATGGGGCGCGATATGTTCGCCTTATATCGATATACGTAATATATCGATATATGTAATTATATAAAAAGTATGCAAAGAAATTTATAATATATTTAAAGATAACTACGAAAAATAAATCGGGAACGGAAAGTTCATCAAAAATCTACCAAAATGAGAAAAAATTTACCTTTTTACCAACCCAAATTTGTTCTACCAATTTTGGTAACAACCCTGTATATTGGTCACTTTTACGCCCTATTAGTAAATAAAAGCCTTCAGTTGGGAATAGTTCCGACAGAATGGAAAACTTCGACCACTGTCCTAATAAAAAAGGTCAAAAACACCATAAAATAGGAGGAAATTAGGCCAATAGCGGTTGTAAAAAATCAACTAATAAACTATATTGAGTCAAATAAAATATTCATTAAGGAGCAGTCAGGTTTTAAGGCTAATCACTCATGCGAAACAGCGCTAACCTTGATTTTATCACAATGGAAGGAGGACCTGAATTCCAAGAAAACTATCTTGGCTATGTTTGTGGACCTTAAGAGAGCCAACGAGNAGGCTAATCACTCATGCGAAACAGCGCTAACCTTGATTTTATCACAATGGAAGGAGGACCTGAATTCCAAGAAAACTATCTTGGCTATGTTTGTGGACCTTAAGAGAGCCAACGAGACAATCGACGGGGAAATTATGCTAAAAAAACTGGAATATATTGGTATAGATAACATCGAACTTACATGGTTCCGTAGTTTTCTTTCTGATAGGAAGCAACAAACGGTGATTGACACAGCTCTATCCACAAATGTAGCAGTAGATATTGGTCTACCACAAGGGTCGGTGTTAGCTCCATTACTCTTTAATATATATATCAACGACATAAACTCAGTATTGAAATATTGTAAGGTAAAATTCTTTGCTGACGATACCCTCTTAACCCTCAGTGACAGTAATCTACCCAATGTAATGATGAAAATGCAAAAAGACTTTCATTGTTTGTATAAATGGTTGTACGTAAACACACTTGTGAACAAGTCAAAATTTATGGTCATATGTAGATTAGCTAACGTTAGCTCCAATAACTACAGCCTACAAATTAAACATGAAGTAATTGAGAAAGTAAGAATCCTTAAAAATCTAGGTATATATATCGATGAAAATTTGAGGAACATATTGACTACACAGTAGCAAAAGTTGCGATAAAAATTAGGCTCATAAAAAGATCATGTAAGTACTTTGGAAGGAGGTATAAGACCCTGGTCTACAGATCCATAGTTGAACCACATTTCGTATACTGTCCAACAATCTTTTTTATAGCAAGCGACACACAAATCGATAAACTTCAA